CCCGGCTCTCCCACGCCACCCGCAGAGAGCTGCACGCGGGGACCCCGCTCCCGAGTCCGTGCTGCACACCGCTCAGGCTCCGGGACCCCTGGTGGTGGGTGCCGTTGTAATTCCTGAACCCTTTTAGTGGAGAAGCGCCTAACCACGAGTTCTCCGGAGGGGCACCTACAGCCACTCTCACCGGAGGGCGCAGGCCAGACGGCGCGGCGGTACCGGGGGTCCGAGAAGAACCTTCAGGCGCACCCCGCGGACGGCCAGCTGCACGCCCACTCCGGAGAATGCGTTGTCTGTCTTAGGGCTCTGCAACTCGGCTTTAGGCATTTGCCCAGAGAAGTGCATGCTTGTCCACGCCAGAGGTAACTGCAGTGACCGTCAGGACAGTCACTGAAATCCGGCCCTCCTCGTACTGCCTGCTGCACCTTAAAATTACAATATTGGGGGGCCAGGAGGTGGCATAGTGGTTAAGGTGCTAGACTCCCATATGGCTAACCATGGTTCGGGCCCTGTTGGCGTGCCCAGAAGGATAATGCAGGAGAGTCATCCTCCTGGAAGGTGATTTCTTACCTTCCCTCTCCCTACCTTTTTCTCTCTCTGGCAGGTGGCGTTAAGGGTGCTGAACTCCCACATGAGCGACCGCGGTTCAAGTCCCAGATCTGGTGGCTTGCTTTCTCACTTTCCCTCTCTCATTTCGCTGGTCAAATTAAAATAAGTAAATATAAATAAAATCATTCTTTAAAAAAAAACTAATATTGCACAATAATAGGAACTGAGAAAAAGTACATGCCATATCATTTTACATATAAGAATTAAAAACAGGTTAATGAACTTCTATTGTTCATGGACGCATAATTAGAGAAAACTATGGAAAAAAAATCAACAACAAAAGAAAGCAAAGTAGTAACTCCCCTAAAATCAGGCGTGTGGTTATTTGTGGCAGGTGGGGGAGGGCTATGGTGATTGTATTTCTCATCCTCAATGGTGCGTGTTCCTTTTATAACTACTCATTAAGCTATATATTTCTGTACCTGTAGAATATTCCACTCTTTAACAATTTTCAAAGAATGAAGCAAGGCAGTATTGGGAATTATATGCACATTAAAATAGCGTTAAAACCACAAGTAGATTGGAGTGCCTGTTTTAAAAGAGACAGGAATGCTTGAATACTAATTGCCTCTTTAAAGATAGGAAATGGAAAATGTCTTTACCACTCAGTTTTACCATTTCTTAAATTCTGCTTTTTATTAGAATTAGATTTTTCATTACTTTAAAAAAGCTTATATATTTATTGGGACCAGCAGATGGCATAATGATTATGTTGCTGGACTCCCACGTAGTCAACCGTGGTTCTAGTGCCAGACCCATTATACACTGTACAGGTATATGTGATTAAATGTAATATAAAAAATAATAAAAATTAATTAAAAATAAAAAAAAACACCTCACACTGGGCGCGTGTGTGTGTATGCCCAAGGTCCCAAGAGGAGACTGGAGGAGAAGGGATTATGGCATGGTCATCCCCTTTGGGGGGGGGAATTTCTCACTTTCTGTCTCTCTCTGTCTCTCTGGTGAGTGCATGTGCCCTATAACAAAACTATCTCTTAAAAAAAGTTTATAAAACCTCTCTCTCAAAAAAAAAAAAAGTATAAAAAAAACCCCCAAAAAACACAATCTCATGCCGGGTGCATGTGCGTGCATGCCCAAAATCCTGAGAGGAGAATGGAGGAGAAAGGAGAAGGAATTGCAGCGTGACCATACCCCCGGAGGGTGATCTTTCTCTTTCTGTCTCTCTGTCTCTCTCTGTTTTTCTGGCGAGTGCACGCCCCTACAGCAAAAACCTCTCCAAAAAAAAAAGTATAAAAAAAGTTTATATATTTATCTTATTTTTTTTCCATAGCAAGAGAGAGAGAGACAGAGGGCCAACACCTTCACATGGTCTCAAGTTGCCCACAGCCCACGCATGTGCCTGGCACACTCAGGGACTCTCCAGATGTGAATGTGACGCTTTCCCACATGGGTCAGCTGCCCGGGGGGGGGGTCACATTTCACCACTAAGCCACTGTCTCGAGACCCTGTGTAACTCTTTGGACAGAAGGGACCCTTCTTACAAGGATGGTAGTCCCTCAGTGTTCACTGACAGGATAAAGCGAGGTAGCTGCACTGGGTGGTGTTTTTCTCCCCGGGGTACTATACACATTATCACTAGAGCACCTGGGAGCATGCACACCACCCCACACAGCGTTTATTCTTCGTAGCAACAGCTTCTAGAGCACGTTAGGGATCCAGTGCCGAGTCATTCATAACCGTCTGCTGTCTCTCTACTGGCCAATGGAAATTCATGCCTGGTCCTTCAGGCTCGAGTGCTTTCTGCTTTATCCAGAAGACTTTTTGGTTTTGGTTCCTTTTGGTTGGTTGGTTGGTTTTGAGGACAGAAGTCTGACTGCTTTTCCCTATTTCCAAATCCCTTCCAGAGGGCCCTGAAGTGAGCTGGCCCACAAACATTCACAAGCCATTTTGGCCCATTTAATAACAGGACTCTTGCTACATCCTGTCTCTTGCACCATATCCTTGTGATGGGTGAGTCACACCCACAGACATTAGCAGACCATTTTGACTCACTGATAACAGGACTCTTCCAACAGCCTGTCCTTGGGACAGTATCGTGTGACCATACAAGCCCCGTTACCTCTGCTAAAGTACACTCTTTGCTGATCCCTTCCTGAAACACAGATTTTCCTTTCTAATTACCAGTCTAAGAATTGTGAAACCCACTACAGCCTATCGCCCCCAACCTCCTGCCCCAGGTCCTGCCTTTGTGGACCAGATCAATGGAAAACTCTTTTCATTACATTTCCAAACCTTGTCTCTCACTCTCAGAAGCAACTAAAAGGAACCCCTGTACCTGATCACTCTGAGAGAAAGGCATATTTGTCTCTACTCTGGGTCTGGACACACACATTCATGTTTAGAAATAAACCATGTTAATGATTATTTCTGTGGAGTTGGTTATTTCCATCAACAGTTTTAAATTTTGCTATAGAGTATGTGTGTTTGGTGGGGATGGGGTGTTGAGAATGGCCTGTTGCAACCCTTCCCCCTACCCCCCGACCTTGGGATTTTGAGCACACAAATGCCCTCAGTATGCTTTCCAAGCTGCAGAGTTGGGACTCGAACTGCAAAGTCAGCCAGGTTAAACCTGGTTGCTTTAACTACTATGCCACCTGTTGGCCGCTAGAAAAGTTTTTTATGTTTGTTTGTCTGTTTGCTTTTTAGGTTTTTGCCTTCTTCTCCTGGGATTTTGGGCACACATGCAGACGTGTCCAGTGTGATTTTCAAGCTGCTGGCCCATGGACTTGAGCTGTGGGAGTCCAGAGCCTTAATCACCATGCCACCTGTTGGCCCCAGGAGAGATTTTATTTCTCCTGCTTTTCTGAAAATCAATGGACCATCTTTGGTCGGGAGTCTTTCAGTCCAGCAGCTGCTTGCAGACCAGTCCTGGCTGTCTGCAGAACGTCAAGTCCGCTGAGCTGGACATTAGTCCTCGGTAATGACTGTCTTGGCTCTTATTCAGGGTGACTGAGGCTGCAGTAAAAAACACGAGGGGCAGTCAGAGTCCAGCCAGGACGCAGAGCCACGCCAGTTATTCTAGCAGAAATCATTTATTGTGAAGAGTCATTAAGTGAAAAGTTGCAAAGGGAGCTCAGTCAGGTGTCATGAGTGTAATAACTGCAGAGAGCATGGTGGTGGGAAGTCCAGGGCACACCTGGAATTTCTGCCACTTAGAAACGTGGAGCCAGGCCTCCCTCTCAGAGCGTCCAAGCTGCTAGGTCCTCCTGCCCTTGAAAAAGTATCAAGGCGGACAGCAGATGGCATTCTGGTTACATCGCTGGACTCCCACATGGCAGGCTGAGGTTCAAGTCCTGGACCCGGTGGCTTGAAAATCATGCCTGTGGGGCCAGCAGATGGAGTAATGGTTATGTTGCTGGACTCCCATGTAGTCAACTGTGGTTTGAGTCCCAGGCCCAGTGACTTAAACTCATGTCGGGCGCATGTGTGTGCATGCCCAAGATCCTGAGAGGAGAATGGTGGAGAAGGGATTGCGGTGTGGGGGGGGATTTCTTGCTTTCTGTCTCTCTGTCTGTCTTTCCAGCAAGCACACACACCCTATAGCAAAAATCTCACCTAAAACAAGAAAAGAAAATCATCCGGGGTGTGTGTGCACGTGTGTCTAAGTTCCCAGGAGTAGAATGGAGGAAAAAGGATTGCAGTGTGGCCATCCCCTCTGGGGGATGGTTTCTCACTTTTCCTCTCGCTGTCTCTGTCTCTCTCTCTCTCCAGTGAGTGCATGTGCCATAAGGCAAAAACCTCTTAAAAGAAAAAAGGGAAGAAAAGGGGACCAGGAAATGGTGTAATGATTAAGTTGCTGGATTCCCAGTTAATGAACTACAATTCAAGTCCCAGACCTGGCAGCTTAAAATTCTTGTGAGGGTG